GTAAACTAGTATGATCATCGAAATCCGTACTACTTTACCTAACTCAGAATTTCCACTATGCAGGTCCCCTGCCTGTAGATCAGTATGTGTATATCATCCTGTGATTAACTACTGCCACACTAATATTTTTCCTATTAAGATTTATTCGTATAATGTTATGCCTCGCTAAATGCTCTGTCACACTTCCAATACCCTGATTGGTATTGGTACAATATGATTTACAGAGTTACAACCTCAGAAATGAGTAGAGTTTATCGTAAATTAGATACAGATGTCTAGGTAATTATTCAATTCTGTATATAGTGGGATTTGAACTCTAGACCTCTTGCATGGCAGTCTGACAACCTAACCACTACACTAAGATCACCAGACTATGATTGTACTTTTTAAAATATACTACATGTATATTATATTTACTTATTTTATGTTTAATAATTTATGTATATTTTTTTAATAGGTTATCTTTTTGATTATCGTGATTTACAAGGTTACAACTCCAGAAACGAGCAGAGTTTTTTATAAGTTGAATACAGATGTCTAGAAATTATTCAATTCTGTATACAGTAGGATTTGAACCCTAGACCTCTTGCATGGCAGTCTGGCAACCTAACCACTAGCAATTAAATGACTTAAATTTAGAAATATTAAAATTATGGTCTACAGACAAACAAATTATACAAACTATTAAACATTCACACCACTTAGCATATGAACTTTCAGAATTTCTTAGTATGATTCAACCTATAGATTTGTTTATTAATAGAAATAATTTACTTATTATTAGCTTACATAAAGATGAAGTTTCGACTTCATCTATTTATAATAACACAAATTCAACTGATATTCAAGAAATTGATGATATTTCCTCTGCAATAAGCAATACGTCAAAAGAAGTCGAACAAATTAGCAATAATTTGTTCAACGATAATGAAGCTTTTTTAGATGACATCATATTTAAAAATAGCTAAAAACAGTTTAAAACTATTGAACAATCTTCAGATTCTAGTTTATTATCGATTTTAAATAATAGTGATAGTAGTAAGTATTTATCTATAATTGTTAATTACTTATTTGACTATTTAAAATTTTTAATAAATTTTAAGTTCTGAATATAGTATATATATTCTGTAATTATGATTTTTTACTATATTTTCATGAAATAACAGCCAGAGATGTAATTTCAAATTACGGTCTGAATTAAGCTTAATTCAGACCGTAATTTGAAATTATATCCTTGGCTATTATTTTATAAAAATAAAGTATATAATTCAAAAATGATAAAACTATCATTCTAAAATAAGTTAAATTATAATTATTAGTTAATTTAGATTACCAATACTTTTCAGAAAATACTTTTGAGTTTTTACTTGATCAACATAAATTGCACGATGCATATTGTTTTAAACCACTTGAACAGAAGTTTAAGTTAAAAACAACAAGCTCTACTAGAATAGATAAAAATTCTATTCTTCCAAATAATACTAGTCATTTGGTTGTATATTTTACAAAAAATGAAAATCCTGAATAGTGATTTGTTAAACAAAGAGAAAAAAGATAAAAGGAAAATCGTAAAAATATGTTATTGACACTTGCACAATTATATTCAGAAGAAATTGAGAAGTTAAAAAAAAAAAAAAACTCAAACAAAAGAAATATTAAATTCAAATTAATTTCAAGTAAGTTATTTTTTTAATTTTATAGTTTTTTTTTTTTTTTTATAAACTGATTAATGAATTCGACTTAAAAATTAAAATGTTAGGTATGTTAAATTTTATTAATAAATTTTTTAAAGTTTATAATTCAGAAGCATATAA